TGGAGAAGTCTCATGGTCATATTTGGAATCAGCATGGTCGATAACCTATAATCCACTAGATGTCGATCAAAAAGCGATTTATCACCTCGGGAGGTTCCCTCGTAAGCTGAGAGTTCAAATCAAGCTACAGCATTTCTATGAAAAGGAGCAAAATAGGGCTATTGTTTAATAACAGTAGTTCATAGAGAAACTTTAGTTATCAATTAAATAAAAATGTTTGCTATCGACTGAGCTAATACATGAAACCATTTATAAGAGAGATGAAAAAGCATCTGATTGTCTATCAACATATTCATAGAATTAAACAAAAACTACAAGAAAATGTGCAATGTATAGTTCCATCAATAGAACTTGAAATGTCTATTTACATCGGCATGGATTAAAATGCGGATGGCAGCACATGTAATAAAATGTAAGTTATTTCAATTAACGCATCAAAAAGAAACTTCCAGTTAATTAAGTATGAAAACAAGGTCATAATGTTTAGAAGGTTATGAAAGTGAAGAAAAAGCCAACACCGATAGAATAACATCATCAAACCTTTCATGATGACGATCGCTCTAACAAAATTCATTCTTACTCACTCTTGCAATCTTCTAAACATTATGACATTTTTCTCATACTTAATGAACTGGAAGTTTCTTTTTGATGCGTTAATTGAAATAACTTACGTTTTATTACACGTGTTGGCATCTGTTGAATTAGTAACTTGTAAATTAGACTGTAACATATACGTATGTATATATATTGACCACGAATTTAAATTTTATTGATCAACAATGGATGTTTTTTTTTTTATGTAAGCATAATATCCAATAATGGTAAAATTTTATGGACAGCTATAAGTCAAGAATTAAACTATTTTTTTCCTGTTAGAAATTGGAAGTATCTTTGAAGAGATTGTATATTGTTTTATTGATCAGTATTTATTGTTTAGAAGTAAAAAAACTAAACAATCATTTTTAAAGTTAAAATCAGATGTTATAACTGCAGACAGACGGAATAAGTCATGATACCTGCTAAAATTCGTTTGAGATGGAGTTCTTATATTATGTGCTCACTGTAAAACTTGCTATCAGAAAAGTGCGGGACCATGCTATTTACTTTTCTGTATTGTACATCTAAAAAAGTGGATGAATTTTCTTTATTAATTAACCATCTCCCATTTTAACAGAGCAAAACTGTTGTTCTACTGTCTGCCGATTATCCACTTTTTTTTCATCGGTCACTCAGGAGAACAACAGTTTTGATCTGTTAAAATGGGCGATGGATGATTAATAAAGAAAATTCGTCCACTTTTTTGAATGTATAATACAAAAAAGTGGATAGTATGATCACGCACTTTTCCTATGTCAAGTTTTACAGTGTATGATATAGACCTATCTTATATCATCGCTGATGTAAGAATGGACAAATGACGAAGTACAAAATATCAGACACTGCAAAACTCGCAAAAAAGAATACTTAATAGATATTTTCCTATTTTGAGAATGATTTTTTTTACACTAAAAAAGCTGTCGAGAGAGTACATTGTTTTTGAAACTTGAGCACATCTACAAAGATTAGTGCAAATATAAGAAAAAAACAAATAAACAAAACAATTTTTTTAGTTTCAAAAATAAAACTTCAACTATACATAGCATAAAATAGTTCAGGATTGATATCGTTTTAATTGTTCAAATGTTTGATACTGATTTTTGCGTCTTGAGTTTTGCTCTTGTTTGCTTAATATCATTGTTATGTATTCCTCTTCATAAGGAAGAACGAGGTTAGGTGGCGTTTGATCAATATCGGAATCATATAGACGCTTTGTACTAAACACTGGCGTGACTGGCGCTGAACGCTATGAACAGAGGATAAAATGAAATTGAGAAATTTTATAAGGTCTGTTTTAAAATAGGATGTATCACGATCAAGATGAGAGTTTTATCTGTCTAGTTAGATTATGTGCTTCAATTTACTTAGTTGTTTTAGTGATATTTCGTACTCTAATAATAGCTAACTTTCTATTCTTATCCAAACATACAATTAGATGATACATGATAAATTAAGCGAGAGAAACTGCTAACCTGATCATTAAATTGTTTAAATAACATTTGTTTGTTTTTTAAAAGCTGTTTATTATCTTCATCATATGCTGACCAGGTTTTCCATAAATGTTTCTTCGTTTCAAAAAATACACCCACATTTTGAAAGTGTTCAGCATCATCAATTAATGATAATTCATCATTATCTTCTGAATATTTTTCTACAGTCTTAACTGGTGATGAAACTTTTTCCTGTTGTTGTTCATATTTTTCTGCTTCTTTTATGAATTGTGATAAACGCCGAAGCGAGTTTTCAAGTAAAAGAGATTCTGAACTCGTCATAGATGAACTATCTAGAAAAAACTTTAGCGAATTTATTAGACACAAAGTTATATGTTACCTAAAAATTTCCAAGTTAAATGCCAACTTTATCGACATAGTGATTTAACATGTAAACAACTTACTTGTAGAGGGAAAAATATTTTGGTTAGACTTGTAAAAAGCAGTTTTTCTGATGTGCACGTTTAAAAGTCTTGATTCATTTTAAGAAAATAAAAAACTACTGTAATTAAGTACAAACTCAAGTGTTGACATATTAAATTGCTTCATTGTTGAGTTCCCATTCACTTTTATATAATTTGGGATATCCGAAATTCTAAAAATGATCTTCCCTATAATTAAAAAATATATAATTTCTTGTTTGACATAAACAAGACTGATGAAGAAGTGAGTGTCTATGTTGTGAAGGTAGTATTATTTTAAACGTCCAACTATCATCAGTTAACACGACTGAGTAAAACATCTATAATATCCTATAAGTAATATTCGAGAGGTGGGCGATTAGCTAGAACATACTCGAATTTCGTAACTAAATTACTTAAAATCGAATAAAAATGCTTTCCTACTACTTACGGAACCATTTTTAGATAAAAAAAAATGAGATGGACCTATCATCAATTATTAGTCCCTTTTGAACGTTTTGATTAAAAATACACTGGACCGTTGTGAATTCAGTAAACCACAGATTTGTGAAAAATGAAAAAAAAAAGGGTAGTTTTTGAATAAATAAATGATTAGAGAGTACAATGCGACTACATTTTATATAAATCCATTTTTTGAACTTCGTTTATTATGAACTTTCAGTCAGTACTCTACACTATCGTTACGAAACAAAATAACCAAGAGTAAGAAAGATTTATCGGTGTATTTTACAATGGTAAAACTGACTGGTCGAAAAAACAAATAAATAAAGAGAGAGAAAGTAGTGAATGAGAATACATGTACATAGAATAGTGTCGCCGCGTAATAAAACAACTAGTGAAAAAGCAAAACGTGGATTTTTAAAAAATCTAAAAATGTTTTTCATAATTGTATTCATTCTATCCTCTATAATTAGACGGTCTCAGCTATTTCTAATCAGAAAAACTTGCTAAAAGAATAGGTAATACGTTTGATGCTGTAAGACGGAACCGAAATAAAATAGCTCTAATCTTTTATTCTTTAGTCTAAATTTTTTCAATGAAAACTTATGCTAATTTAAAAAGACCAGCTCAAGAAAATATTCAAAAACTTATACATAAAATATGAGTGTGGATCTCCTTTGGGATTCTAAAAATATGCAAAATCATGCTTTGTGAGAATAATGCCACCACTTTACACATAACTTTGTAATGTACAAGTGGATGTTATCAGACAACAAGTGATGCTCTACAAGGTGAATATAACCGATCTCGTCAGCTGACAGGTCATCTAATAACCGAAAAATGTGTGTAAGCGTCGTTCCGATATTTTTACAATAATGAGTATGCCACAAAATTTCTTCTAACGTATTGATATCACGTTTGCAGCAAACTTTGTTAGCTGTTAAAATTCCATCGGTCATACAATGTTATTCGTCACTGCTATAGTGTAATTTTTGTATTGTAATCTCACAATTAAAATTTTACAATTGTTTTCTATACCATGATGATTTCAATGTTCCATTGTCTAAATGAAATGACACATCGAAAACCGGCAATTTGTAGTCATCCTCTGTCAGACACAAATTTAATCATCGAATTGATAGAATTTATAGGACACGATTGATTAAAAATCAATGATCGACAGTTCTTCTTTTTGTATATACTAAACACGTCAGATTGGAACATTCGGCTATTGTATTTACCGTTGATAATGGCATTAACAAACCGAAACGTCTAGTTTATCAAATCCACATTCTTTAAAAATGTTCTAATTTATGGAAACAAAGCGTTTTAAATTCAACATAATACGTCATTTTTACAAAAGCTATCTTCCTATGTTATCAAATTTACCAAATATATTAAGATTCGTATGATTTTTGAGCAGCTTTAACTGCTTCATCCATACTATAATGAAAAAATTTGTACATATCTTTAACAATTATTGGGTCATTATCTTCCTTAAATGAATATTTGTGTTCAATAGGTATCTGCTGGTCTGAGCTGTTGTCAGCTATCGGCTGCTCCAAATCCAAATATGGAGGAGAATCAAATCCTGTCTTAAATCGATGTTTTTCTTTGGGAGTCTCATCTGGATTCGAGGTATCAGTTTTCTCATCCGGCTCATATGATGCACCAGTTTCTAGGCCGTCTAATTCAATTGTTGCAACAACGACAGTCGTGATTCGCGCACGATCACTTGGTATGAGAACAGCAGCAATGGTACTTAATTGACTACCAAATCCCAATCTGATTAAAATACGTCGTACTTCCGGTGAGTGAACATTGACAAAATGCCAATAGATGTAACGATTAGCCCATCTATCAACTGTCTGCCTCACATCTGTTATACATTGAATACCTGTCGAATCAATATTAGCTACAGCAGCAAAATCAATTACGATTGCTTTCAGCAACGGTTGTAGGACACTAGCAGAGTCTGTTTTTGTATTGTCGTTCCATCGACGAGAGCCTTTGGCTTTCGATAAGGGTTTCCCTCTGCGAGTGTTTTCCTTGACATGGTCTATCATTTTATCTGATATGTAACTGGCATTTGGATATGTCAACGATTCATTTAATCGAAATATAGCGACACCATCTGGACCAGATTCTATATATTCGACTAAAGTGGGATGATCGACTGGGAAATAGAAACCATGACTGCCTTTAATGCGTCCGAGGACATTAAATCGAGGACGACTAATACGCAGTAGAAGTACAAATAACGTGTCGTCGATATATTACGTAATCATTGTCATCAGTACCCAGGTCCAAGATTCAGATAGCAAGATCTTGCCAGATTCTTATAAGATTTTTCTTATGATAGGAATGTACAACATCTTGTATAATCTTATAAGACCTTTAGTTGTAGGAAATTATACGACCTTATAAGAAGTCACAAGATTTTATATAATCTTATAAGATCATACGCTTGAACATTTCCCGTCGAATCCCTCTATACCCAGATCAAATAATCAGACCAAGATCTTACAAAGGCTTATAAAATCTTACTAAGATTTTACATTAATTACATCTTACGTTATCTTACATCTTAATAAGATCTTACATCAAGAATCAGTTTCTATGTTTCTTACAGAATTTTACAAATTCTTATATGAATCTTACGAAATCAGACGGAATCGTACAAGAAGCTTATAAGATCTTACAGCAAGATTCTTTGATCTGGGTACTTCTGTAATTTTCTTTTCTATATAATTTCTAACATTCACAGGTCCTAGGCGGCCATAGACCGTCTTTTCTCACGTTTCTTAACGATGCAGTTCAAATGTACTCAGCTGACGTGTGAAATTGAAAGGAGAAAAAAGTTTCAAGTTTTTCAAAAAGAATGATCCCAGGTCAAAAAGTCGGATCAAGATCTTACACGATCTTATAAAATCTTACGGAAAATCATAGAAACGCATTCATCTTAGAAAATCTTATAAAAATCATACAAGAATCTTACAAAATCTGATGATATCTCACTATAAGATCTTACATCAAGTATTAGTTTCTAAGTTTCTTACAGAATCTTACGAAACCGTACAAGAATCTTATAAGATCTTACAGTAAGATTCATTGACCTGGGTACTGTATAACGCCGCAAAAATTATGCAGTAGAGATGAGTCATCGATCTTATGAAATCTTGTAAGATCTTACAAAATCTTGTGTCAGACATTATTGACTTCTACGTATTTTCTTGCCACAACCCAGGTCGAACAATCTTATGAAATCTATTATTATTTAACAAATTATGAAAGAATCTTGTTGTAAGATCTTATATTAAGATTTTATCAGATTTCGTAAGATTCTTGTATGGTTTTTATAAGATTTTCGAAGATGAATGCGTTTCTATGATTTTCCGTAAGATTTTATAAGATCGTGTAAGATCTTGAGTTGATTTTTTGATTTGGGTTCTTATAATCAGAACTCGAAAGATGTTACGACTAGAAGTTACAAGATTCGATAAGATCTTACATTATCTTATAACAAGATCTTGCAAGATCATATCGTAAGATCTTATTACAAGATTTCACAAGAAAACATCAGATGTTTCAAAGTCTTACAGGAAAATGGTTCACCTGGGTAGATACATAATCATCGGTTTAATTGTTTCCTAAAAATCCTAAAATTAAGTGGTGAATGCAAAAGTTAACGTCATGAACAATAAAGTTATTGTTGACTTTTCTACAGTCTTGAATGAAAGGAAATTACTGTCAACTTCTTTTCCTATTTATTTTATCATATATTCTCTGTTCTATTCACTTTAAACAACTTTCATGTATTTTCAAAATAAACATCAAACAATGTATAAAAGACGTCAGATAATCGTTGTGTTACATTAGAGTATATGTATGTCAAACATTATTATTAGTGGAAGACATTCGGAATATTCTTTGTAGATAATTAAGATGAGCGTGGAAAAAATGATCTACTATCATTGAACCAGACGAATTACTTTCGGATATTGCTATCACATCAACTTTGTGAAAAGAATTTTCTTCATACGATAAAAGAGATGAAACAATCATTATAATTGAATACATTAGTAGAGGTATCAGTTTACTTTATTAAGTGATAAGTAATAAAACATATTACCTTGTTCTTATTCAAATAATAATTTTTTATCACTTTACTGATTACTTTTCTACTTATTAGTAACAATTACAGTGATAAAAAATTATTACTTGGGAAAAGTAATAAAATTTATTACTGTTTTACTGGTAATAAGTAATAAAAGTTAATTAGTTTTACTGATTAAGGTGATAATATAACATCCGTACAGGTAAGTTTTCCAATGAAAAAGATTGGGCGAAGAAGTGTAGAACGGCATGTCCACGTAACGGTCGCCTTTTCGTGATTCCGTCACGATTTTTGTTGTTTTGCGAGCCTCTTGGCGCTCGAACAAAAGGAAAC